GAAAAACTTGACAAAAGACAGAGCTACCTCCATCAAGTTTTGTCAATCCCCACAACTGTTGCTACCTATAGCTGTGGGAACAAGGCATTATCACAAGATTATATCTATGAAGGCTTCTAGACCTCAGTGTTGTACTCTCGTGCATGCGCAAGAGCCCAGCACAAAGGACAGCTCTTGGTGGATGAAGTGCCAAGAGTTGAAGAAAGCAGATAGATTAGATAAGTATAACTTACCATAGCTGCACCCTCAGGCATTGTCACCATCGGGGGTCTTTGCAAAGTATACAAAGATCCCAGAAGGTGAGAGAGCCACTTTAAATATTTCCTCTTATATTCCCACATGCAAGTCAGTATAGCCTAAGTTCCTCTTAGAGGCAGCGCATGAAGGAATTACGGAGGGTTTGGTTAAAGAGAGCCATGAGAACAGTAAACAGACTGCTGAGCCCTTGGATGGGTATAGGGTTCAATTAGTTTTCAACACAAATTGAAACCTACTCCTAGTGCCATTCTGCCATAAATTAAATATGAAAATATAGTTATTATTGGGCCACAGTATCACCCTACTCTTCATAATTATATTACTTCTAAGAACAATTATATTGGACAAATACATGATAGGTATAATTTACTCAAATAATATATTTAGATAATTGATATTTTGAATGCACATCTCATTAACACGGACAGACTTTATGCCGTCAATTTAATTTAGGAGACTATTACAATCAGTTGATGTAATGCTCTTATGTCAACTAACACTTTGGCATTTTGCATGTTTCTAATATAATTTACATGTTCTTGAGGTGCTGGTGCTTTTTATTGTATGTACAAACCCAGACAAATTTAAGTTATAGCTAGTTCCTACTTTATGGTGCACTATATGCCACAGTGCCATGGTGATATATAAAAAATGTAGCTAATAATCAGCAAAAAAGGAATGCCTGTATTAGCCATCACTGCAAAAGGTTGTAGCCATTAAAAGGCAATTCAGCATTTAAAGAGACAATATAGGCACCAAAACAACTTTAGCTTAATTGAGCCGTTTTGGTGTATAGATCACTGCTCAATTCTCTGCCATTTAGGAGTTAAACTACTTTGTTTATGCATCCCTAGTCACACCTCTATTCATGTGACTTTCACAGCTTTGCTAAACACGTGTAAAGGTCCCTTTAATGTTTACACCTTCTTCATAGTACATTCTGTTTAATTTAGAATTCCTTATCTCCTGCTCTGTTTATAGCCTTGTAGATTGCATGAGCCACCTGTGTGTGATTAACATTCAATTTATAAAGCAGGAGATACTTTTAAAACAAGTTAACATCTAAATGTTTTAATGCAGGCTGTGTGAGTCACAGCCAGGAGAGGTGTGGCTAGGACTGCATAAACAAAAGTGACCTAACTACTAAATGGCAGATAATTGAACAGTTAAACTTCAGAGGCATGGTCCACACAGAAAAACTACTTCATTAAGCTAAAGTTATTTTAGTGACTATAGTGTCCCTTTTTTTAAATTTCTGCAACTAGCATTTAATCAATCCTTTCATTTTAGTGCACCACTGTACCTATTTACTTATCTGGCTAGTGTGCCAATACAAATCTAAACCTGAGTTGACTCAGTATTTCATTCTTGTGATATAGATAAAATAATTACTGTTTATTGGGTAAATAAAATAAAATAAATCTAAATCAGTCATTTCTGATAAAATTGTTTATTTTTGTTGACACGGAGCATTGTGCCATGTACTGAAAATTACAATGATTCCAAAATAAGTTTTAAAAACTCCTCATATGACTGATCTCAGGTCAGAAAGGTATATTTGGAAAGTCCATATAGGCAGTCTAAATATAAAAGTCATAAAATTAAAAGATTTAAAGGCAACAGTGGTGTAAGCAGGATCTACCGCAGGGTCGAGCTGTTTCTATCTAATTCCATGTTTCCACAGCAAGTTATACCAAAGTATATAACTTTAAAGGACAAATTTGCACTTGGCTCTTTTCAACTATAATTATGCATGCAAATTGATCTGTACAAATAAAGAAAAATGAACAAAGCCATACTTACTCATCTGAGAATGAGGTATAGCACTTGAATACTGGCATATGAGCAGTGCTTATAATTTCAGAAGGTTAAATGCAGCAAATATCACAGATAACTCCCACATCAAGCAAGTGAACCAAAAAAGGGGAGATTTCCTTTGTGAAGGAGACATCAAGGAGACTCTGCTTAATCACTTCTTAATAGACTCAAAGACACTGTAAAGGAAGTTGCTTCAAAGAATTAATCCTTCATTACTTCATTGTCTTCAGAGAACATTACTAATGGAAATGAAAATATAGCCACAGAGAAGGATTTAGGGGATCGTTACAATCTTTATGTTTAACTTACACACACAAACTTTCCCTGCAAAGAACACAATATGGTGCAGTAACAAACATAATGTAAAGATACGTGAAGCTTTCTCCACAAGTCCTGATTATTCTGTCTATTTAAGAATATGTAATTGCTCAATGGAAAATGTAATAGTTTTTACAGACATTTCATCAGTCACATTTACACTTCTGGGTGCCCCCTGGGCTAGCATTTTATTCAAAGACTTTGATCACTGCCTGATTCTGTTCAGAATAAAAGTAAGGTATTACAAGTATGTGTTACTTCGGCACTATCCCATGATAATACACACCAATAATACCAGCAGGAATTTCTGCCTGGTCTGAAGATTTTAGTGTGTGTTGAAAACACAGATGTCACATTTAAAGATTATGTTTTGTTTAGCAAATCCATTACTCTATTTTTGGCGCGCATTTGCGATGTTATGTGGAGAGAAAATTGAACTCATAATAAATGACTCATTTTGAGTTAAATTGTTATTGTACGGAAGAAATAGAGAACATTTCAATCACCATTTTATGTCAGGAGAAATTTATTAGCTCGCCAACCACAGGCAAGGATTTGAAAATATTATTTTTCTAGAAGAGCTGCAATTTCAGAAGACATTGCTATGCTCTTTAAAATGTCCCTACAAAATGTCCTCATAACAGTAAGCTTGGATGACTACTTCTGGCATACTATAGAATGTGCATATTAAGCACTCCCTATTTATTTAAAGGGATATTATAAGTGTATTCCTGGCACTATAGCTACCTCTGCCTCCCCCCTCCCTTGCACCACCCGTTCCTCTCCCCTCCCCACCAGACATGAATAAAGGGTTAAAAGCCCTTTATTTACTTACCTTATCCAAGCATCGATGTCCTTCTGCACTGAGTCGTGGCTCTGCTCCTTTGATGTCCCGCGACACGCATTAGACCTCCCCGATAGGAAATGATTGAATCTGGTGGAAAATCTGATGCTGGATGTCCTCATGCAGAGTAACTGTTAGGTGGAGATAGCCACTGGAGACAGACTTAGTGCTGCAATGTAAATATTGCAGTTTCTCTAGAACTGCAATGTTTAACATTGCAGCACTAAGTGCAATAGGAACACTGTATCCAGATTACTTCAGTTAGCTGAAGTGGTCTGGGTGCCTATAGTGTCCCTTTAAGAAAGTGTCTCTAACTGTTTATTGCTTTGGATAATAAACAGCTGATGTTGATGCTCTGTCCTTTGCACTTGGCAGTCAGCATAGAGAAACTGTGCAAAAAAGAGGAAAATGTATACAATGTTTCTATTTCTTTTTATTTGCAATGTGTGCCCTCGTTGTGCCTGGACTGAATTGGATTTAAAAGAAAATGGAGTATTACAAAAAAGGTAACGCAAGTTAATAATAAGTTTTACTATTTTATTTAATGGTGTCAATGTCACCTTTAAGACATTTTTATTCTTCATTCTGAATGGTTTTGTGGCAATTTTGTATACTTTACAGTTTCCTAAGCAGGACACTCATTTGCCTTTGTAATAAGCTTTTTTTTCTATATTTCCTTCCTTTGATTTAATGGAATAGATTTATACCAGCTGCCAATGTAGAACTATCTTCGGGAAAATGGTCAGATGCACAATAGATGTCTGGGCACTGTAGTGAAAAGGCCTAGACAGATTATTAGTCCTGGTTCCAGCCATGCCATACCAATCACTGTGTAAGGCTTCATACACAGTGACTTTAATGAGTAATTAAAAGTGTAATTTAAGTTTGGCAATAGATTTAGGGAATTTAACATACAGCACTAAACCGGCTACATATGTATCTTACGCATGCAGTATAAAGTCATATACACAAGTATTCTGTTGCTACAGGTCAATCTAATGTGCCCCTTTGACAAATTAATCAAAAATACTGGGTCCCATATTGTGCTTGAGGCTCTAGGACTAGCACCAATACATTGTCATCTGGAATTCTGAAAATACTTAATCATTATAGGAAATTATGATAAAACTGATTTAGGGTTATACTTACAGCTATTATTATTATTATTATTATTATTATTACTACTATTACTATTATTGTCATTTATAAAGCACCAATACATTTTGCAGTGTTGTTTAATTGGGGAAAAAGACTGTGCAATATGCACAGAGCAATATAAAATATAAAAATGGCTCTGTCCATGTGCTGAGATCTAGTCATTAAAGCTCTTTTATAGAGTATTTAGACAGAAAACCAGTGAGCTTACAATCTAAGGGTTAAAATAGAGAGTTGAGGGGGCGGAGCCTAGCATCCTGCCTGAACGGATGTGCCGAAGCCAAGCTCCTACCACTGACCGTGATTTTTGGGGGAAAAACCCCCACAAACTTGGCACGCTCGCACTCAGAAATGTTGTGGTGAACAAGGGGACCCCCGGGGGTACACATAGCCACTAACCCCAGCTTCCTACCCACCCGGGAACCCGAAAGCAACTGATGAAGGCAAGCACAGACACCCACCGACTCTTCACCTCCCCCCACCCCTGTGGGACCGGTGGGGGATATCCCGGTCCCCGCTGGGAGTCCGAGGTCACCTACCTTTGCCGAGCTCTGACCCAAAGCGATACTCACACATCGCCGGCACTGCCGCACGAGGAGCACGCAAGATGACGACAACATCCTCCCCAACTAAGCTGACTCAGCTTTCCAGCCAAACACCATGCCACAACGATGCAGCTGATATAGAACAGTGGCTAAAGAGGCTGTTCGAGAACTTTTGGAAGAAAATCCAAAGCCACAAGCAAACAGCACAGCGCAGACAGCTGGACCCTCTGGAAACGGGTGAGGGGAAACTTGGGCAGCGGGAAGTGAGGGACCCAATCAGTAACCCAAACATGCCAAAGCCCACCTGGGCTGAAGGCCAAGAGGATCTTGAACCGGCAGCATTGCCCACACAAGCGGAGGCCCAAACGCGCTCGTGGCGACCCACCACCCGACCCCTTGCAACTCCCAAGAGAGGAGAAAACTCCGGCACTAGAAGCAGCAGAGTTTGTGGTCACAAGATGCGGGCCTACACAGCAGCCTGGGGCTGGAGGGAGACCTGCGCCCGCACCCCATCTGCGCCGAGAACCCACTACCCATCAGAGGGATACAGACGCTGGCCGAAAGTGGGAATCGGGTGAGAGGGGCCAACCATACACCCACGCTCCCGCACCATGAGCACCCCTGCAAATGTGTTCCGGAGCGTGACGATCTACTGAGACACCATATCTAGCCCGGACTGATGAACGAGGGACTCAATATATTGCTCTTCTAACTTGGGACTCGGACACCAGTGTCCTACCAATCGTTACCTTATATATATCTAGGTTTCATTATATACCAGTTATGACTTATCTTTAGCAACAATGAGTAAGAGCCATGAGCAAGCATGTATGATATTACACTAGAACGGCTAGCCTATACAGGGAGTGCAGAATTATTAGGCAAGTTGTATTTTTGAGGATTAATTTTATTATTGAACAACAACCATGTTCTCAATGAACCCAAAAAACTCATTAATATCAAAGCTGAATATTTTTGGAAGTAGTTTTTAGTTTGTTTTTAGTTTTAGCTATGTTAGGGGGATATCTGTGTGTGCAGGTGACTATTACTGTGCATAATTATTAGGCAACTTAACAAAAAACAAATATATACCCATTTCAATTATTTATTATTACCAGTGAAACCAATATAACATCTCAACATTCACAAATATACATTTCTGACATTCAAAAACAAAACAAAAACAAATCAGTGACCAATATAGCCACCTTTCTTTGCAAGGACACTCAAAAGCCTGCCATCCATGGATTCTGTCAGTGTTTTGATCTGTTCACCATCAACATTGCGTGCAGCAGCAACCACAGCCTCCCAGACACTGTTCAGAGAGGTGTACTGTTTTCCCTCCTTGTAAATCTCACATTTGATGATGGACCACAGGTTCTCAATGGGGTTCAGATCAGGTGAACAAGGAGGCCATGTCATTAGATTTTCTTCTTTTATACCCTTTCTTGCCAGCCACGCTGTGGAGTACTTGGACGCGTGTGATGGAGCATTGTCCTGCATGAAAATCATGTTTTTCTTGAAGGATGCAGACTTCTTCCTGTACCACTGCTTGAAGAAGGTGTCTTCCAGGAACTGGCAGTAGGACTGGGAGTTGAGCTTGACTCCATCCTCAACCCGAAAAGGCCCCACAAGCTCATCTTTGATGATACCAGCCCAAACCAGTACTCCACCTCCACCTTGCTGGCGTCTGAGTCGGACTGGAGCTCTCTGCCCTTTACCAATCCAGCCACGGGCCCATCCATCTGGCCCATCAAGACTCACTCTCATTTCATCAGTCCATAAAACCTTAGAAAAATCAGTCTTGAGATATTTCTTGGCCCAGTCTTGACGTTTCAGCTTGTGTGTCTTGTTCAGTGGTGGTCGTCTTTCAGCCTTTCTTACCTTGGCCATGTCTCTGAGTATTGCACACCTTGTGCTTTTGGGCACTCCAGTGATGTTGCAGCTCTGAAATATGGCCAAACTGGTGGCAAGTGGCATCGTGGCAGCTGCACGCTTGACTTTTCTCAGTTCATGGGCAGTTATTTTGCGCCTTGGTTTTTCCACATGCTTCTTGCGACCCTGTTGACTATTTTGAATGAAACGCTTGATTGTTCGATGATCACGCTTCAGAAGCTTTGCAATTTTAAGAGTGCTGCATCCCTCTGCAAGATATCTCACTATTTTTGACTTTTCTGAGCCTGTCAAGTCCTTCTTTTGACCCATTTTGCCAAAGGAAAGGAAGTTGCCTAATAATTATGCACACCTGATATAGGGTGTTGATGTCATTAGACCACACCCCTTCTCATTACAGAGATGCACATCACCTAATATGCTTAATTGGTAGTAGGCTTTCGAGCCTATACAGCTTGGAGTAAGACAACATGCATAAAGAGGATGATGTGGTCAAAATACTCAAAATACTCATTTGCCTAATAATTCTGCACTCCCTGTATGCATGTCCAAATACTACGCACAGTGATCAGCTGCCACAATTAATGTTTAGCCATGCACAATCCACCTACAGCCGTTGACACACAAACTTGGCGACAACATCCTTCTATCGCATGTATACAGTCAGCTTTGTAACTCTAGCATTCAACACCAGCCTACTTAGACATATTATGTTAAGCCTGAAGTAACAATCTTGATATCCTACCTATTTAACCAAGCCTGCTTAAACTAAAAAATTTGCCTGTTATTCATATGTCCCGCATGTTAAGCGAGGAAGAGCCTGAGGACTGCTTTTGGGGCACCTCAGACATGCTTGTATCATTTACTATGCACTGCAAAAAAATAAATTAATTTTTTTTTTTTTTTAAATAGACAGTTGACACAAGACATAACAGGGAGAATTTGAAGATGATGGCCAGAGGTGGTAATGGAATTAGATCAAGCAGCTGGAAAAGCATTCTATAAAGTTAGAAAGAAACAGTTACCAGGTTCTAAAGCACATTTATTGGAGGATTTTTCTCGAGCAGCCAACCTGTTTATCGTGTTTGGCTGCTATAATTTGAGCTAGTCTAAATTTAATGAAAAAAAATATCATCTGGATCCAGTTGATAATTGTTCCTGTGTTATGCAATAATATTGGATCAAGTCCATTGTTTGCACACAGAAATACACCACAATGTTTTTTGCAAGACTGGCCTATTTTTCTTCAACAGACTCAAACGGTACATTCAGCTCTTCCAGCATACCTCCATTCTCTTGGATCAACTAAATATTATGAAATGAGATCTGTTATTGGTCCATCTGTAGTAAAATCCACAAGGGCACATAGTTACATAGCTGAAAAGAGACTTGCGTCCATCAAGTTCAGCCTTCCTCACATTTGTTTTTTGCTGTTGATCCAAAAGAAGGCAAAAAAAAACCATTTTGAAGCATTTCCAATTTTGCAACAAACTAGGAATAAAAAAAATCCTTCTTGACCCCAGAATGGCAGTCAGATTAATCCTTGGATGAATGAGCTATTATCCTACATTAAAAAATTATATCCTTGAATATTCTGTTTTTGCAAGTATGCATCTAGTTGCTGTTTGAAACATCTGTATGGACTCTGATAAAACCACTTCTTCAGGCAGATAATTCCACATCCTGATTGTTCTTACAGAAAAAAAAAAAAACTTGTATTTGCCTGACACCATTAACAAAATATAAATGCTTATAACTTCTGGTGGAAAGATCATTACTGACTGGTACGTAAAGCAATTTTTTTTTTGGTGGGGGGAGGAGGGGGAGTCGGTGCATTAAATAATTTCCTATAATCATGCCAGGAAGGTCTCTCTGTTTTACTCAGATCTCTTGAACCCCAGATCCAAAGATTTTGAAAATGGTCAATATTACACCTCTCCTGGTACATGTGTAATATAACTCCAAATATTATTACATATATTAACTGCATTGCACATAAAAGATAATTGTCGATATAATTAAAACAGGGTTGTATGAGCTGTCATTTTAGGTATTATAGCTCATCTGCAGATGAGCTATGGGAGTAACTCAATGGGCTTGAATGATCACATAAAATGTCAGTACCTTTCCAACTACCGTTTCTGAATCTGAGTGTTAAAACCAGCCTGATTGCCCATTGCAGTCCTGGTCTATTTTCTCAATGGACCTGCAAGCTTTCTTTACAAGATTAGCCGAGTAGGCCAGTAAAAAACAGCAATGTCTGTCCAGTTTTGCAGAGTTAGAAGATCATTGGCTCAAGTGCCTGAAAACCTGGGTGTGCATTTGTTATCTTATCTGCAACTACATATTTATTAGTTACAAGGCTAATACAATAACCTACAAATGTATAGGTAATTGTATTAGCATTGGTTTGCATGAGTATGAAATGTCCTAAATCACATCTTGTATTCTAGTTCCTATAGCAGACAGCTATAAGAGTATCAAATGTACACATGTAAATATTTAAGTTGTATTTGTGTGTTAGATAATTAGCTATATGTTGTTTGTATTGTCATTAAAGCCTACGTATTGCTTGTACCTGACACAGAAGTGGATTATAATCGTGAAGTCTTTGATATTCTGTTGCTGTTCTATTACATTTTATGAATGTAACTGAAGCAGATTCTTTCATAAATAAATCCTCAAAATGTGTTAGAGTAACATTAAATATATAACGGAGGGCAATTACGGTGTTAAAAATACAAACCAGACTACACTCTATTGTATGGATAAGCACCATAACTTATACATATGAACAAGCCAGTTATAGTTATATAATCATATAAACTGTATAAATATATTTATGCTTATATGCAACTATTTTTGGATGAGTGCTGAATAAATAAATATATAGTTCACATATTAATTATTTTTTATCCTATATATTGTGAGTTATAGATGTATATATTAACAGACATTAATACGAATATTAATATTACTGTTCATAAATATTAATAATCATAACTATACATACAACAAAAAGTGTTGTGTGTTAAAAACCCATATAAATTAATAACATATTCTTCAATTGGTAGCTGCTACCACACTGAATGTGCAAACCTCCATAAACACACAAAAAGTGGAATCTCAATAAAAAACTGTGGAGTGCAACAAATGTACAAATCTGTGTTTAGTGCAATACTTTAACTGGCTTAAGTGGAAATATGTGATGAACCAGCAAGTATACCTTAAATAGAAAAATGGTGGACAATAGCGTAAATCCTTATTATATATTTTAGGATAGAAATCTTATATGGAACTCTCACATGGTCCAGAGCTAATCCACCTAGCTCTGGTGTGTATAGCTTCTAGGTCTGTTTGGGTGACCTCT